AAAAAAAACTTTATTATGTTCCCTTACTTTATTACGTTTTTGAGTCTGATATTTATTATCTTTTAACTGGTTATTTACTTTTGTAGGCCTCAAACAGCGACAGAGGCATTACCCAGGTGGGAATGTAGTTGTTTTACAAGCATTATTGAAACTTTGCGTTTGTAACGAAACCAGACCTTCGATGGTGCCGCGCTAGTTTTTGACCTGTCTGAGTGGATCAGAAGCATTTTTGTAGGACAAATAATTGGAGCAAACTTTTATTGTTCAGGTATCGAGTGCATTACTTTTTTACACCTCTTTCTGTGTTTTTTTGAATGAAGAGGTCGAGAAATTGAATTTTGAACAGTATAAATTTGAAAAAATTTCTTCTGGCAAATTTTTTGTCAGTGAACATATAAAGTTTTTGTTGGTAGGTAAAAGGCCTGCGATCATATTAATTTTTTTGATAGTGATAGTTGTACTTTGGGAAAAAGCGGGAATTAGGAGATCAAAAAGCGCACAAACGATGAAGACTTTAGCTCTAACAAGACTCGTGGTAAACTATGCGAAGTTTTGAGAAAGGTACGATACAGTGTAGTAGTATCTGCTTTTTCATTTATATTTAACTGGGTTTGAACAGCAGTTGTTAAGCCATTTGAAAAAGTTTTGTAAAGCTGTAATTAAGTTGACCGCTACCTTAGTTTGTTTGTTTTGCGGTTGTGTGACCCGACCAGTTTTCATCTAATGCTTTTCCAAATTAACGCGGTTTTCCTTTGATGGAGGTTTAAGTACAATGGATTTTAAGGTTTGAATGTCTGTGGTCAAATATGGTTCAAAACTATTATTTATGGACGGGAAAGTAACTGCTAAAGTGTACCTGTTAAATCGGGTTTTTTTTTTCGAATTTAATTTATTTTGACGGTTCACTGTGTTTTCTTAAATTGTGTGTCTTTTTTTTTTTTTTTTTTTTTTCAGTTTAAAAGTATGGAAGAAGTATTGGGGGAACCATCTTGCTTAAATAGCTGAATTAGGGTTTTTAGCTTGAAAAGTCGCTGAATGGAGCCAAAAGTTTTTATAACAGTTTATCAG